ACAAGAAATATTTTCCACACACGCTTTTTCTAGTTCATTTCCGTTTAAAGAAAAAAATATCAAGTAAGAAATTCAAAAAACCTGTTATCACATCTTTTACTGATAAATATTATTATCTCATTTGTTTCTACGCATTGCCTAGTGTTTTCCTGCGACAGCAAATGTCATAAAGCAAGTGAAGTATTAGAAACGTGGGTGTGGGGGATTGATTAGCATAATTTGTTTCGATTTTCCACATTTCTCATTGCACATACCTGGAAACACATTCCTCGGTGTAGTCTGTTGCGGGCTTAACTGTTTACAGAGAGCTAAAGAATTTGCCAATAAAGGTTTATACGTTTCATGTCAGTTCGTGAATGGCTTCGAAAACGTGTTCCAGATATGAGGCCGAAGATGATTCTATTCTGCTGGACCATGGTATAGTTTACAAAGTAAATATGACATAATAGTACATATGTTATAAGAGTAAATAATTATTCATTTATAATAGTATAAAAAATTCAAAATAATAAAAAACAAACGCTTGTTGACATACTTCATACATCTATCCTCTTTTAAATTAAAAAAAATAAATACTCGATTTTTTTTCTACCTACTTTCGAAACAAATTCATTCTCTCTTCTCTCTCTCTCTCTCTCTCTCTCTCTCTCTCTCTCTCTCTCTCTCTCTGTCTCTCGTTCTCTCGCGTTCTCTCTGTCTCTGTCTCTGTCTCTCTCTCTCTCTCTCTCTCTCTCTCTCGAATGCGATTTTCCCCCACGCAAATTAAAGGGAAAAAATTAATGAGAAAAATCATGCCTCTAGGTATGAGACAACCAAGAACCTCACGGAAGGCAGTTCGCGATGTGTCTTCGGAAGCCCAATTTGTCCTTGTGGAAAAGTTGCGAGCGCATCGCGTGTCGTCGAACAAAATACCTAGTGAGATGCCTTCTCATTGGCAAAAAAGCACGTCACGTCAAATTAATTTATATTAAAAATGATAAACAAGGAGCTGAACTGATGTATCCCTATTCGTAGACAGGATTTTGCGGCAAGTGCTGATGATTATATTTTAAAATCATGATAATGAGCTTATGGATCTATCCATCACGGCCCCATGTATTGTAATTATTATCACTTGATCCGAACTATCAGAATCCACAGTTCTGACAGGAGGAAGATATCGTTCACTGGGCATGACACTCACGTGACACTACCATGAAAGATAATTTCTTAAGTGATCCTCTGATCCTCTTCCGTATTATTATATAACTAGCGGACCTGGCAATGTTTCACTATTTCAGTGAATTACACATCACAAACTATTGGTCACGTGATTGTTAATCACGTTTTACGCTATGATGTGCAAAAAGTCTAATAGATGAAAGACTTCCCCGCATTCCCCGGGTTTGTTCTATGCCCTGGTTTGGATATGGTTGTCAAGTAACCTATTGTTAAAACGTTCCTCCTCAAATTTAGACGCTCTCTTAGAAAAATGACACTCTCTTACAAAAATTTGATTTACTTATCAGATATTAAAGTAATAATTCCGACCGAGTTTTCAAATCGCAGGAGCAGAATACTTGTATGCAGTGAAGATGCGCTTTTAATCCTTGACTGTGCGGCGGGTTGCGTACAATAATACGGTTCGTCATTAACGAATAAATCAACATCAACAAACCCTCCACATATCCAATTCATTTCAAACCACTCATTAAACATATTTTTAATACGGCCAAAGTGAGAAAATTTCAGCGAAATCGGTTGAGTAGTTTTTGCGTCTATATGCGGCTCACGTTCCCTTTTATTATATACTAGCAATATGTGGCGTCACCGACGTTGTGAACTGTATTAAAAATAGTTTCATGTGTTGAAAATATCTTTCATACTGCATTTCTTTCATGCCCAGCTTTGTTAAAATATGTTCTTTCAGCATCTGGCATTGAACTTACCATTTAATCGTAGTAGCTGAAAATGTTATACTCCCGTTCACAGAATCCCAACACCCAATGGCCTTGTGTATTACCCATACGGGATATGAATTGGTTTTATTGCAATTTCAAAATTATAATCGCCGTAAAAAACACTTGCATATTTTTTTGCTAATAGTTAAATTTTAGTATAGCTACGTATTTACGCTTTTTTGGTAATAGGCCCATAGCACATTTCCATTTAAAAAATGCTAAATGCAAAAATACTGATCATTTCAGATTAGTTCCAAAAAGTGTATCGCAAAATCTTTTACAATTACATTTCATTCTTCCCCGGATTTCCTGAAAACTTCAAATTTTTCTCCCCTAATTTTTGACAAGATTAAAGCTTCACAAACTCAGTCCAATTTGTGTTCACTTCTGCTTCTGCAATTGCCCTTTAAATAGTTCTGTATGAGAATCTAACATTAAAAGGTGACTGTTGTGTATGTCTGTGTGAATAAGATTTTAGTGTGAATAAACTGTACGTCACATTCATTTGTATTCGCATTCGTATGTGAGAAGTCATTCATTCTCTAGCATTACTCACTGTTTTCTTTTCTCCATATTCACTTTAAATTCTTCAAGCTCAATAAGATCTGAGGCAATACTGTTCGTAGGTATTCGCAAATTTATTTTAAAAATACGTAAATAACTCGACTCTAAATTGAAATCAAACAGCAGCGCGATTTACTTAGTAATTCAATTGTTCACTTAAAGATGTCAACATTAGTGTCGCCAACGTCGTGAAAGAAAATTATGGCGTAATAAGTCAAAAAACGCCTTTGGATTTCAACGCCACATAAATCGATCTATGCAGGAGGCATTAATTAACTTTCCCTACACTACACGTAATATATATTGTAACTGTATAGTGATAGGTTATATTTTTTGTTTTTTACGTTGCTACACACAAACTTAGCTCCTTAGCAACTAACCGTCTAAAAGGAAACAAAATTGATTACTAAATTTTTACTATCCGCGAATACGTAAAATAGAGAAAGTTATGTAATGCTGCGGAAAATCCGCCTGTCCGTCAGTCTATGAACCCTACTAGCGCCTAAAGCATACGTAGGATTTCTTCCTAATTGAAGAAACCGGAATCCAACTGGTTCGATTCAAATCTTTGAGAGTTTGTAACATGAACTCCCCGGACATTTTTATTTTTTTCTCAAAACGCTGCCAATTTTTATTTATATTTTTTTGTAAGAATAGAATAAAATACAACTATAAAGCTGGCACGGTTCGATTGTCAGTTTTATCTCTGAATTTTCGAGTGTCTTCTTACAACTAAAAATTGAAGATAGAGATTTTTTTCTTCAAATAAACTTTGTGTATCACCTACAATTTTTATGAAAAAATTCGTTTATTAAAAAATGACAAAAATGTAATTTTTTGACTTGCCTTTACCGTAATTAATATTTATGCTAGCGGCGATTTGTTTACATTGTATTTATGACTACACGTGCTTTTAATAGTGTCAAATAAACTTTCTCAAAATTCAACAGATTTCTGTTAAAGCTAGCTCAAAATTCCGCATTTTCACAAATTCTCAAACGCCATTTTCTCAAAAATGGCTCCACATTTTTCGAACGGGTAGTGCTAATTGCACTCTTTAATATGACGTAAAGTTCATTTGAAAGTCTGTGCCATTTGTAGCGCCACTAGTTTTTTTCTGTATATTATTCGACAAATGTGCTTGAACCTTCCAGAGAGTATATATTCTTCTTTTATCGTTTTAGAGTATTTATTATATAGATAAGTCACAGAGTTTATTATTGATAATTTACAATAATGTCGCATTTAAGAAACATTGAGATCAGTGAGCATATGATAGAGAACATGATGGAACAAATGCATTTGGAATGTAATTGTTGATTAATAGACATGTAACTACTGTTTCATATTTCCGTTCCTGCTATAATTATCTCATCCTAGATCCATATACACATGAATCTTTATCTTATCTTACAGATAGTATTATATCCTGCATTGTTTCATCATTGTATAAACAATGCTGCAGGCGTAATTATTTATCTTGTATAAAAAATTATTTTTTGGGGAACGATAGACGAAAATAAAGGCCTCTATCAACTGCTGAACACTTATTTCTCCGCAGAAAATTTCTTGCGGTCAGCTTTTCTCATCGGTGATTTTCATTGCTTTCTCCGATCAATACCAAGTAAATGCTAGAGTAGTACTCTAACAAACGGGCCACGGGCCGCGATCCTTCCTTCATCTGTGCCCTATCACCTGTTACACTCACAGTTCCTTTCACTACACTACCACACATGCCGAGAGCTCCAAGCTGGTCTCGGCTGATGCTGTGTCCCACTAGTGGGAGACACCTGATTAGGAAAAAAATATGCAAACCAGCTCGGCGACAAATCTCTCCATCCTACGGCAAAATTACCGCCAACCCCCTCTATATAAAAACATGCGTTACGTATACGAGACTAATAAACTTTGCAGTTGACGCGTCCGCAATCATCACACGCAATCATGATGCAAAACACGAGATTATATAGGAAGAAATCAAATCCAAAACGAGGTGAAGATTGTGCATAAATTCCCGCCTCTCCAGGGCAACTGGAGAGGCGAGAACCGAAAACCTGGTAGCAGTACGCTGTGGGGAAGGCCACAATACGCTAGCCGAAACTTGAGCCACAATGTCAGTGACGCGGCTCGTCCATAAGTAATACATGACGTAGTTATGACCTGATTTTGCAATATGGTATTAGCTAGAAATTTAATGATTTAATTTTATTTAATAAAAAATAAAATTTTCATTTGTTATTTGGAATTGAATAATTATACCTGCCTCTTGGGTGGCTCATGATCAGCTAACTTTCCATTGTGCGGTCCTGGATTCTATTCCCGGACAGGGCAAGAGCTGTTACTTTCCATTACAATCATTTCAGTTTCTACATCTGTTTGATGAAAGAAAAGTTAAGTCAGGCCAAGTATTCTAGATAAAGAGAAGGAAATTTGTCATGCTTGCTACATGTCTCTTTTATCCCCAGCCCAGGCATAATAAATAAAAATACAGGCCTGGGAACACTGATAGCTTGCATAAGTTGGATTAATCTAACCTTAAAATGCCAAATACATACTTACACATATTTATTCTTCACTACTACACTGTAAATTGAGACAAATATCGCCAATGCATCACACATTCATTAGTATATGCTGACTATAGCCAAATTATTAGGAGTAATGATTCAATACATAGAAGTTCAGTTGCCAGGGTGTCCCCACCAATATACCACACATACCAGAAAATTATGGGAATATGTCTCATGCCCTGGCAGTGAAGCTCATAATCCTCAAAAGAGCATTCGCAAGAGTAACAATAAAAACAATCCACTTGGTAACAATATTCTTTTAATAGTTGTCATGTCACCCACACATACAAACACACATAAAAAGAGCATTATATCTCATATTTCACAAAATGCATTGCATACTTTTAACGAACAAAATTTCTAGCAGAATACCTTTTAGCATCACATTGTTCTAATTACCAAACAGAGTGTTCTGCAAGTTCCAGTGAAATGATAATAAGCCAAAGTTATCATTGAATTTGCAAAACATTGAACACCACTGTGTATGTATATACACATACATAATATATATAATCAAAGTAATTGAACACATGATTCCTATATCAAAAGATCTTAAAAATTGATGTAATGAAATCTCAATTAACAAAAATAATTTTTCTCTTAAAATCTATAACTCACAGCTAAAATGAGAAAAAAGCAATGTAACTTTATACATTTCATAACAAATTATGTACCTTTCCATACTATGTTCTTAACATGATGAGGTTGTATTTAACATTAACATTTATCTCTAAAACCAGGAAGTCTAAAAGACAATGAAAGCTTTCACAAATACAATAAACAATATAACCAAATGTATGCTGAGATTACATGGAACAATGCTCTATCACAAGTCTTTTATTTAAGAAAATAAATGAAAGAAATTATCAACAAATATAAACTTTGCAACAATAACATAATAAAAAATCAAGTTTTTTGTCAGCTGTCTGATTAGTCAAACATTACATATAAAGAACCAGATTCAAATGACTATGGCAAGAAAGTTTTCCTGAACAAATATTTTCAAATGATAGATTTCATATAAATAAGGTAACACTAATTCATGTAGTCATACTTTCAAATTGCACCTACTGGATTTCAAGAATGTATGAAGAAATATATATGTTCAATTTTTACTGTTACAACACAGCATTATGAACATTTTCTCCTATATACCCAATTACGTAAATATTCTTTATAAATATTAATTATTTTGCTCTCTTACTTCAAGTTCCAACAGATAGTAGTCTGATCATTTTAACTTCATTGAAATCTCCTCACTTTTAAGCATTAATTCTTGGTCATTTATGCACAGGAAAGCTCATCCAATGTTCATGTACTGGACACACAAACTTAACAGTGCTACCTTATACTTAACAGAAAATATGTCTATTTATTGCACATTCATAAATAGTGGAATTAAATTCAATATAAAATAATCAAGCAATAATTCTGATTGAGAGCTTTAAAATATATAATATAAAAAATACATTTGTCAATTATATTTTTGGTCCACAATAATAGACATTGTACTATCAATATCTTACTAAAAAGAAATGTAGTGTGTTTAAATTAACGTACAATTAAAATCATTTACTCAATGCTTTTGGAATTAACCGTTTCTCAAACTTGCCAGGAATGTCAATGTGCATCTTATTTAGCCCATCAATCAGTCTTATAATGTATGCCATGAGAATGGCCTATAAATATGTCATCATTTGGAAAGGCAGTAATTGATGAGTCAACAGCAAATACTAATGTACAATATATAACCATACAATTTTTCACACTCTTGCATCTTGAAAACAAATTTTTTGAGAATCATTTCCCAATGAATCACAAAATCACATAGTACCAACTTAAAAACATTATCTCCCAGTACAATCCACATATTTTGCGAACCTTATGGTAATGCAATTAAATATTTAATACTACCAAGATGATATGTTCCGAATTTTCTCATCTTGTGCTATCATTTCCAAACAGCATTGAAAAATTCCATGAATGAATCGTAGATCATGAATGTAATTGCAACATCAAGACAAACACGACTCAGTCTAGGCACAGTACCTTTGTAAAATCTGGAAACAAAGAACAGTAATCAAATAGTGCAACAATTTTGATCAAAGATTTGTACATTTATATGAAGTAACTTACGCAAAAGGTCCTTCATTTTTCCAAATTTTAAGGAAGCAATCTAAAGTATTCTTGTACTTTGAAGCTTCCAGTCCCTGTCGCAGAATAATTCATCTTCGTTAATACAATTTAAGGGTCCAATACACACAATATCTTCAAATTAAAATACAATTCAATTACAATTTATGGCACTTGTTTATAAAAAAAAGTGAAGTTATGAAAAAATGTAATACAATTAAATTGCCGAATAATAAATTTGCCGCTGGCATAAATAAATAAAAATTCCTTATAATAATAAGGATGCTCTAACTCTTGGCTCTCCTAACAAGTCACATCCCTCAAATTCTCAAGCATAACCTTATTTCTATCAGAGTTGAATAAATTTATAATAATTTTAAAAGAATTTTACATTGAAAAACATTAATAATATGTACACCGCACATATTCAAATTAAATAAGAAACAAGGAAAAAAGAAAGAAAAGAATAACCTCTCTAATATTAGTTTCAATCCACCCATGAAAAACTACGGTTTTTCATGGGCAATGCTCTGTGTCCTATGGTTCTCCAGATTTATGGTGTATTACACCAGTCTAGATAATTCATTCACTATTCCAAATTATTATTAAGTTTTGTAGTGATAATTTACTTCTATGGACTTGTTACTAAGTACATGACTCAATAATAATTTTTCTTCTGATAGCATTTGAAGTACATGAACTTTTAATTAATGTTGTATTATGTTTAATGCATACCACTTGTCCACTTTCAAAAGCACTATGCATCTAAAATATTGAATCTTCTACTAAAAGCAACGAAAAAACTATTCCAGAAACATGTAGTTCAGGAATTTCAACAAAGGAAATGGGTGGGGGATTTTGGCCGAGGCAAACTTTCGGCTGATGACACGCTCCCTGACCATCCCCACTTCACGTTTCAAATTAAAGAACCAAAAGACCAACTCACAAGAGGTTTGAAACTTCTGAAATTATTTAAACATAATAAATATTTTACTTCAATGGAATTTTCTTTTGTCTATTCTATAAAGTATCGAGAGATGACAGGTAACAGCACTTTTAATGAAAATTGAGTTAAGTGCAGAAATTAATAGTTAAAAAACCCAAATACTCCAATTATGAATTGTAATGTAATATAGATTCACCTGCATTCGTGTCTTAACAACATCAATAGGCGTATTTCCAAATACAGATGCAGCACCAGCAACTGCACCAAAAGCACCTACAATTGGTTTGGGAACAGGTTTCGTAGGGTCACCATCTCTGTACCAATCCTTCAGGGTTTCCATGACAAAAAAACGTATAGCCTGGTTGCTTCCTTGCTTCATAATGGTAGCTGTTACTCCTTGATATACACCTCTCAATCCTAATATGAAGTTTTCGAATTAAAACAAGCATACACAATACAAATACTGAGAAAATTGCAATACATACCTTGTTCTGCAATAATATGTCTCACACCATGGAAAAAGCCCTTAAACTTAGGATTAGCAGATCTTTGGTCATTGATGAATTTTACTTTAACTGTCTCCATTGGAGTAACAGCAAAAATTGCTTCACAAATTCCAGCTCCCAGACCACAAAGTAAGCGTGTTCCTGCAGTCAGGTTACCTTTATCATCCACAGCATGCTTTTTAAAAGTTTCAAATGCACCAAATCTAAGCAAAAAAAAAAAAAATATGTAACATCATCATAACATTAGTCAGAAACTCACAACCCATATAAATACGCACCTGACAGCAGATTTGGGTATTGAACCATACAATAAGACACTAAGGCCTCTATATAGTCCAAAGAATCCATGATTGCGAACAGTTTTTTTTACACAGTCCAAAATACCAGTATATTGCTTTGCTTTCCCTGATTTCTCATCTAACTGCAGTTGTGTCTTGACATATTCAGTAGGATATGTAATGCAAATTTCAATGCCTCCAGTGATCCCACCTAAACCAAGATAGATTACACACATTTGGGCAAATAAAAACTCAAAAACTGCATTATTTTAAAGCACAAAAACATAGAAGTTCCATATTATTTTTTTAAATGAAGAAAACAAGCAATTAAACCTAAGCAAAATGTTATGAGCAACTAAAGGTAAGTTATTTTTCATTCAAGGGGATCCAGGTGATTGACAGTTACTCTCTGACAGACATGTCCCACACTTGTCTGTCAGAAAAAAAGAAGTGTGTATGGTTACATCAATGAAGTAACCTTGAAATCACATGCCAACAAACCACTATTATGTAACAGTATCACCTTGCATATTGATGAACCTCATTTTATAATTTAAATGAGTGTCAGATGCTACAATGATTGACACAACAAACAGACTGTTTCTTAAAAAAAAATT